AGCATCCACTGGCAGATTCTTAGAAAAGAATAAAAAAATGCTGGCTATTGTCCAAACTACAGTTGACAAATTTGAACATTAAACCAGGGAACGTTATTATAGACTTTTTTTTTGTTCAATCAGTTTTTTAAAAAATGACTTAAATCAGTGTGTCTTCTTAACCCGATCTTTTGTCATTGAATAAATCCAACTTTTCACCATTCTTGCTCAACACGTAAATCTAAATCGGAGCTGTTCTGCATGTGTATATTACATCTTATGGTAACAGAGGAAGGAACCAATTTGGCTTGCAGCTCAGAAAAGCATCTATAACCATAACCCCAAAACAATTATATAAAACAATGTTTAGAAACCTATTACTGCTACGCACTGCTCCAGTGAACTGGTTGTTAGTGTGGCAAGTGAACAGAAAAACAAAAAGGACGTGAAAAATAATAATCAGTGATCAAATGTTCACTTATCTGATGTTATAGCATTTTGGGAGCCTCCCTGTGCCGCACAGCCACTGCCCCAGCGCCCTCTACATGGCCTGGCTGGACGCTCTGACCTGTGGCCTCCACTGCCCCGTGGTGCTGATACGAGGAAACCAGCAGAATGTCCTCACTTTCTACTGCCAGTAAATCCCAGCAGCCCGGCAGGCAATGAGGGATTCATTCAGAGAGTTCAGCGATTACCCATCCATCAGAACCCAAGAGGGTCGCCCAATTGTTAACGTTAAAGAGAGAAAAAAGAAAAAAATATATAATGAGACATATATATTGAAATTATAATGGGGAATTCTAAAAGTGTAGACTTGTGTTTGCATTTTGCACATGCCGTGTGACTTTGCTTTAGCCGTCATTGTGTTGTTGCAACAGCTCCCCACAGTATTCCTAAAAGTTTAGGAACATTCTTTTGGGAGCCTTTTCTTGCCAATTGAACTTTAATGCACTTTTTGACTTGTAAATTCTGTTTCTTGGCTAAGCCATTTGTTTGTTTTCTATGTTATTAAAAGAGGTGGCAACTCTTTGTAAATGTAGTCTTTTTTTATCTTTGCAAAAGACACTTTATGCAAAGAGTATGCAAATTGATTATTTTTACATTTTCCATATCACGATAGACGGTGGATCGAGGGTAGAGGACAATTTGTATGAAAATCTGATGACAGAAGAAAAATTCCATACCTTCATTCAGCCGAAAAGCTTGTTTTACTAAGATGTCTTTTCATGAGAGCCATTTTTAAAGACTCCTGAAATGTAGGGAGGACAGAAAATACTGACAGAATGCCTCATAAATTAACAGCCTACCAGTAGGATTTTGTTGTCTCTTTACAGAGAAATAAGGAAATGAATTTCCATCTGCTACTAAAATTATTCTATCTCTCTAGAATATGTTTGAATATTTAAAAATGTTCCAGAAGCTTAAAGTCAAAGCCTGTGTTGAACATTACTTTATCAGGTCCTGTATTTACCAGAACGTCACACCTGGACAGAGTACTGGCACACATGAGGACGGAAGAAGATTTTAACGCTGTTAACAAGCTCGATTCTGTTGATAGTCAAATGCGAAATGAAACCACGTTCCTAGTTGAGATGTTTTCTGAAATACACCCAGTGTTTGGATTTGTTCATTTTCCAAAACACCTCTGATGACGAAGAATAAACATCACCATTTTGCAGTTATGTAAATCCTTCAAAGGACTGAAAACATAAAGATATCCTAATCCAAGAAAAAAGTCAAACTTTTTGACACGACACTGGGCCTTTTTTGTCATGCTTCAGTGGGTGGTGAGGAGAAAATACAGACGACTATAATAGGAAATAATAACTCTCGGACCTGTGTGACTCAATATGTTGAAATGAAAAAATATGACTTTTTTAAGAGGCAAAATTGGCATCACAGAGACCCTCAATGACTTTGGGACTCCAAATCTTCTACTCAAAGTGTGACAACTTTGGAAAAACACAATCATTTATTTATTTCTGCTGTTGGTGACGGTCTCTGCTTTGAACGCTGGCAACTGAAGCAGGATGAGGATGCTCTTTGGACCTTTGTGTGATTTGATGATGCAAATGATCTCTTCACTATACTGTGTGGTGTTTTTTTTTTTTTCATTTGCATGCCATATTGAAATGAAGACTTGCACAAGCTTTTAAAATCGAGCCAAAAGCTCCATTTTACTGAGACCTGCCTTGGCTTTGGGGTCGCAGGAGCATCACAAAGACACCACATCGAAGCACGAGAGAGAAAAGCAGAAACCATGTAAGTGTCAAACCTTGAGCCCCTTGTAAAATGCAAAGATGAATTTTACATATATTGTGCAGAACTGTAAAACTAAAGATAAAGAAATCGAGATAATCGAAAATGCCTTCAAAGAACTGAGGACTCTGAAGGTTAGAAGTTTTGTTGCTCCTTCTTCTCTCTACTTTCGGAGTAAGATTTTAGAAAGCAGAAACAAAATTCAAAATTCAACCAGGGAACTCTCCTAAATGGTCATCCATACACCAACTGTTTTTAAAAAAGTAAAGTACCCTGTAAATTTTCAGTTTACAGGGTAAAGATGCTGTGGAGTGTGGGTCTGCTCACCCTGCTGGGTAAGTATAGAAGATTCTTAAATTTAGTTAATTAAAGTGCTTATCATTCACATTCATTTTACCAAATACATAGCAGTAAGTTACTGGCAGAAGTGAATTTGATTGACTCCTCAACAAGACATAAGAACACCTTTAGAAAAAAAAAACATGAGTTCTATCAGATTTCTGCTCATGGACATTTAGAGACTCTCATGTTGTGCAACCAGACTGTGTCTAAAACTTTAAGAAAATATATATGTAAGAGGAACTTCATATATGTATATACATACAGTATTATGTATTTTATTCTTGTCACCTTTATGTGACAAAGGAACTATGATATCATCCTTTTTCTGCTCATATGAATTTGAAAATAGATTTTTCAAAATAAAATTCTGGTCTTTGTGTGGACTCAGTATTCTATTCTATACACAGAAAACATAAAAATGCATGACTTGATGTGATATGACAGGTAATTCTTTGATTCTTTCAGTACTGGTAACTTTTCTTCTATTTTTTCATCAGCAGGATAAGAAATATATCGATCCTCTTATAAGATGAACTGACAGGATGTTCATTCTTTTAACAGCTGAATATTCTGAAAGTCAGAAGCATCAACATGTCACTTTTAGTGGCTTATAATGTAACGGTTCACTGGTACAAGTGTACAAGAATTATTTAATTCTCAACTGTGCTGCATAATGGAAACAATATTGGGTGTATTTGTCATTTTGGAAGATGCCAGACAGAAGTCTGAGTGCAGTAGATTCTGAATGAGAAAGTGCCTCCAAACCTTTAACAGCTGCT